AAGTAGCAAAGTAAATAAGAATTAAGTATTTAAATTATGAAAGTAAATACTGTCTACAGTTCAGTCAATCGGATGTCAATACCAGAAGCCACCTCATCAGATTCTATCAATCCTTTATCTTTATCCAGTCCGAGTTCGGGAAATGTTCTAGTGCTGCTGAACACTTTATACACTTCAGGATTCGCTCATCACAGCCCAAATGTCCCACTGCTTAGTGGTTAGTAAGATTATTATTGTTCAACAAAAGTTTATGTTGAAAATTTTTTTAATATTTTCGCTCTCACATATTAAAAAAGCAGAAATTAAAATTCGAATTAAAAGATTAAACAAGAATTTTGCACATTAAATTATGGAATATTATGCGCATACTAATTAATCAGTTAGTGTGAGTGAGTTATTTGTAAAAATTACAATTATTAAGCATATTTTTTATTTTAATTTTTTAATTTAAATTTATTTTATAAATTTTTAAGCACTTTTATAATAGCTACTGAGTAGGTCGTACGATGCACACTTTATATGCAATCAGTTTCATCGTTTATTCTGTCACTGATCTGTGTGATTGGTTATTTGTTTACTTCACTTTACGTGGCTACGTTACGTCATTTCCGTTAAAAACATGGCTAGTCGTATCACTGGTTACAACGACTGTTTTTGGTTCTATGTTAACGTCTTTATTACTGGTAACTTTATTTTATTCACATTAATATTCGTCACTGAATCCAATTTAGTTAAATATTGTATGCCAAGTTCTGAAATAAAAGAAATGTTTTGCTTATTTTTAGCTAAAAATTTAAATAAATTTCTTTTAAATTTTTGTACTTAAAAAATTAAAATAAGAATTAATTTAAAATATTCTGAAAGCTTTCAAATATAAAATCATGAAAAATAAATCTAATTTGTAAAATGGGCAAAACTATGTTTTTTATATATGATTTCTTTTAACATCTTAATCATTAGTTCTATTATTTATTTCGAAGTTAATTCAAATTAAGTAATTCAGTTTTAATCACGAATCTCAGTAATAATCCAAAACTTCATATCATTTTAGCTTAAATAAAAACATGACCACCACTTTGCTTTAATTTTTCTTATTTTTAAGTTCAAATTCAGTTTTATTTGTCAAATATAAATAGCAGTAGTTAGAGCAATTTTAATTACTCTAAATTTAACTCTACTGAAAGCAATTTGAAAATTTAATATTTTGAAATAAAAAAATGAACTGAAATAAAAATTTGAAATTTAATTTTTAATTTTTCAAAATTTTATTTATTAATTAATATAGCAGTAATAACCAAACAATGGAATACGGCAGTCATGTCCGAGAGGTTAAGGAGTTTGATTAGAAATCAAATGGGCTCTGCCCGCGCAGGTTCGAATCCTGCTGACTGCGAATATAGACTTCAGTTTAGAAGAACCAACTTTTGTTTGTCAGGGTTCCAATCAATGGTCTTGGCTTGCAATGCAATGTCTGAGTCATATAGGTGGTAATAATTACATAGAGTAATCACAGAATCTGGGGTCTGACAATTTTTGGGATTTCAAGTAATTTAGTAATATGGTTAGAAGTGTGGTTGGGATGGTTTCTTACATGTGTCTTTTGGTTTACTCCTTTTCAAACACAATCGGAAATGAATAACTGAATAGAAATATTAATTCATATAATTAAAAAAATCCTGTATATGCAAGGACAATTTTTATACTGTCATACTAATTTATTTTTTCATATTTTCCTAGCTTATTTAAAGTCCATTAATAACAAATTCATAATTTAACTTTGCTTAGATAACTTCATAACTAACTATTAATAACTTATTAATAACTTTTTTATTTTTTGACTGCAATAATGGTGAAAATGACGAAGAGCAAAGGGTAAAGGGCATTCTCCTTATAATTTCTATCTAAAATTTGCAAAAATTAGCTTTTATATCTATTTTATTTTCATAAATTAACAGGTGCTGTGTGTTGAGAATGCATTTGCTCATCGTCTTGATGTAACACCTTATCGTAGTGGTTTTGCTGTTATTTACGAGGCATTTGTACAGTGGATTCAGGTATATCAAGTTTACATTATTAATCTGAAAAGTGTTAAAGTTACTTTACTTACTTTTAAGTAATTACTTAACATCTAAAAATAATATCCTTAGTGAATTATGCAGCTTTCCAATCAGTTACATATGTCAAGTTAAAAACTTAAAATAAGAAAGTAATTTAAAGTATTTTAATTTAAATTAAATTTGTACACTCTAAATAAGTTAGTGATGAATGGATGAGGCATAAGAAAAATAATAACTGAGTAAATTATCTAAAATTCTTAAAATCTAATATCATAATTTACTTTTTAGGCTTTTAATAACTTTCGTATAGCGTTTCTATTTATGGTACTCCACGACATGCCTTTAACAATATTAAACTTTTTATATATCACTTCTTGTCGTTGCGCAGGACCATATGTATGTTGAGAGCATTCCATAGATTTTAATGCATTCACTACTAAATATTTCTGATATAAAAGAATTTTTATTAAAAAATTTGTTAAATCTTTTCTAAAATTGTGTTCCGATTGCTTTCAGAGCTCATAAACGTTACGAGTAGTACGTCTTATTGTGGTAATTTTTCAAAAAAATATGAAAAAGTTATATTACTAATAATCTTTATAGTAAATTTTTTTATGAGAAAAAGAATTTGTTGTAATTTGAACTTAATTTTTAATTTCAGTTCATTTAAATAATTTAAAATTTGATTATTCAGTGTAAACTTTCTTTAAAAGGACCTGAATATGATTGTCAAAAACTACATATAAAACTTTTGAATATTTTTTGCAGATTTATCAATGGCCACTAATGATGTCGATATCTGTTACAATAGTTTGTGTTTTGTGGCGATTAGTAATGTTGTATTTTGCGTATCGAAGAATGATCTGTCCACTCAAATCTTCACGTGGGGGTACATTTATTCGGCAGCCAACTCTATTTCAACAACTCAAATTAAATTTAAGTCAAAAGTAATGCTTTATTTAATTTAAGTCAAAGTAACTTTATATTTTTTCATAACTTTGCTACTTATTGAATGAATTCAAAAAGTTTTACAGTTTTCGAAAAATAGAAAAGAAGAAAATTTATTACTGGCTTCAACACATTTGTAAATAATTGAAAAAAGTTTTTTATTCAAATATTCTACAAAATGTGCTAAAAATCTTATAGAACTGAACAACGAAAGAATTTTTGA